CACAAACAATTAATTTAATACGTAGAAGTTTATTGATCAGATAGAAGCATACCAGGTGAGCTATCGTGTGTGTGTGTGTGTGTGAGAGTGTGTGTGTGTGTGTGAGTGTGTGTGTGTGTGTGTGTGTGTGTGTGTGTGTCGCATAAAAAAAAATATTTACTTGTGTCTTTGTTGTATTTGCTAAGGTGTAGATCTCATGGTTGCCTGAGTCACTTACATATGACTCAGCTACTAGTGACCACATCATCTGAGTGTGTGTGTCGTGAGTGAGTGTATCCGTCGTGAGTGTGTGTCGTGTATGTATGTATGTATATCGTGACGGTATGTGTGTGTGTGTGTGTCGTGACGGTATGTATGTGTATGTATTTATTTATGACCTTGACCAACGTTATATATCTACCACCACAAAATATTTAACGTGTCAGATTATGTTTTGTTTTTCTCAATATGTCTGCCGAGTTATTGTAGCGGAGTCATGGTAATTACCTCACAAACTCAGATAATATTTATGATATATTTCTTTTTTTAGTTCTGGAAGACACTGAAGAAAGTTGTTGAATTATTTTTGATGTTGTAATTGGGGTAATGTGACTAGGTGAATTGTGGGTAACGGATTGTGGATAACGGATTGTGGATAACGGATTGTGGATAACGGATTGTGGATAACGGATTGTGGATAACGGATTATGGATAAGGAATAACCTCCCCATTCGTTCTCCCTACCCTCTTCGTTCTCAGTCTCTCCTTCTCTCCCCCACCTCTCCCTCTTTCCCACCCCCTCTCTCTCACCCCCCTTCTCTCCCCCACCTCTCCCTCTTTCCCACCCCCTCTCTCTCACCCCCCTTCTCCCTCTCTCCTCTTCCACCCTTCCCTCTCCCACCACCACCCCCTCCCATCCTCTCCTTCTCCCCGTTCTCTCCCTCCCTCCCTCACAATACACAATGGCCCAGCTAACAAAACTCTTTAACACAGTCTTCACAATTATCTACACTTCACTTTTATTCCAACACCTGCACCATCACTTAACAATGACCGCCTCAGGCACCTCGTTAAATAAATGCTCCACAACCTTCATTTCTTCCTGCCAGCGACACACACACACACACACACACACACACACACACACACACACATACTTGGAATATTTTACTAACAGCTCTTGAAGAAATTTACAACTGGATAAAAATACATTAATATACTTTTAATGGTTCTCTTTTGGTATCTCTTGTTGAATTTACTTAATATTTATATTTTCTATACTCTTTATGAACATGTTGAACTAATGTGAACTCTTATAAGATGATTTAACTTATTTTTATCTATTTATAAATCAAGTTTCGTAATTTTTCTTAAGTTTTCCCTCGTAAACGTTCATTTTCTTTGTATTTAGAGGGATGACTAAAGGATTGTTCGTTTATAAAGCGAGTTGTTTACAATGAAATAAATTAATGTACGGATCAGTTAATAATTTAAGGAAGTATTTTTTGGTGTTAATATTGTCTGACTGTGATTGTGTAGTTGTGGGTTAGGTTAGGTTACGTTAGGCAGGTTAGGGCCTATTAGGACTGGGGCCCATCTGACCAGTCACTGAGATAATGAAGGTTTCTATTGATGAAGGAGAAAGAGAGAGAGAGAGAGAGAGAGAGAGAGCCAGGTGGTAGTCAACATGGGAAATCCTTTACCTCACTGTATCTGTGGCGCTACAGGTAACTTAATTTGTCGAGTGAGAGGCCCCTCCCCCCCCTCTCCCAGCATACACATCTCTCTCTCCCCCCCATCTCTCTCTCTCTCTCCCTATTCATTCCTTTACCTCCTCTTCTTCCTCCTTATCCCACCACCTCCTCCTTTCCAGCCTCCTCCTCCTTCTCCTCAACCCCTCCTCAGGTAGACGCCCCCCCCCACCAGGAAGTAATAACACTTAATTGATTGTCAGGTAACACACACGTAACTAATGACGTCATCAAGCAGGGTGCGAAAGTGACGCCTCACCTGACCAATATTGTGAACGTCCAGTGAACGTCTTGTGAACGTCCAGTGAACGTCTTGTGAACGTCCAGTGAACATCTTGTGAACGCCTTGAGAACATCTTATGAGCGCCTTGAGAAAGTGAACGTCTTGTGTTGCGAACGTCTAGTGAACGTCTAATGAACACCTTGTTAACGTCTTATGAACATCTTGAGAACGTCCTATGAACGCCCTGAGAACGTGAACGTCTTATAAACGTCTTAACGCTTTAGCAACGCTGGGTATGTGATTAGCGTCGGGGATGATTGGTTTTGTAATGGGTCATGAAGCAATTACAGGTGATTATGTAATTTACCTGTGAAAGCTCTCATCAAGGTGTCGCTGGCTCAGGTAAATTAATTAGTACGTGCGTGTGTGGAAAAGAGTGGGGGGAGGAGAGGAGGGGTAGGGAAGGGGAAGGGAGAAGAGAGGAGGTGAAGGATGGGGGATAGGAGAGGAGGAGGTGGGAGAGGAGAGGAGAGGGGTAGGGAGTGGTAGATGGGGTGTGGTGAGTGTGGTGTGGTGTGGTGTGGTGTGGTGTGGTGTAGTGTGGTGTGGTGTGGTGTGGTGTGGTGTGGTGTGGTGTAGTGTAGTGTGGTGTAGTGTAGTGTAGTGTGGTGTAGTGTAGTGTAGTGTAGTGTGGTGTGGTGTAGTGTAGTGTAGTGTGGGTTGGTCACTGGGGGGTGTGTGTGGACAGTCATGGTGTTGTGAGACGGAGGGCTGAGAAACGTGTCTTATGAGGGAGTGAACATCTGATGTAACCCTTCCACAGTACAGATGGAAAGGTATACACACACACACTTATACACATACACACATACACTTATACACATACACACACACAGACACACTTACATACACACAATTATATACACACACATATATACATACACGCATACACATATACACATACACAAAGTACTGCCACACCCTTCTCATGGCACTGTCACCCCTCTCATGGCACTGTCACCCCTCTCATGGCACTGTCACCCCTCTCATGGCACTGTCACCCCCTCTCACTGTCACCCCTCTCATTGCACTGTCACCCCTCTCATGGCACCGTGTCACCCTTACCATGGCACTAGTTGTAACCCTGGCTGTAAATGTCATATGGTCAGGGCAGATACTGAAGACCCTGGCCACCTCTGACAACAATACTCTCTCTCTCTCTCTCCTCTCTCTCTCCCTCTCTCTCTCTCTCTCTCTCTCCCTCTCTGTCTCTCTCTCTCTCTCTCTCTCTCTCTCTCTCTCTCTCCCTCTATCATCATCACACAAACAACAGTGACTATCCCACCATTATATAATAGGTATTTAATGGAAGAATTCTAACCTTGGAATATGAAAGTCGTCAACACAAGCCTCTAATAGGTCAACCTTCCGTACCTAACCCACCCCCTTCCTTATCTCCAATGATTAATATATCGACTAGAACCATTGAACACCCTCGACATTTTCTTTTTTGCTTTTTGTTCATTATTCTTCGATTGATTCAACTTTCTTCTCGTTCTACTTAATTTACATTCTCTTCCATTCTCCTGATTTTTTGTTTTTTTATTTATTTTTATGCGGTTCTTGTTTGTGTGTGTATGTGTGTGTGTGTATGTGTGTGTGTGTGTGTGTGTGTGTGTGTGTGTGATATACACATTAACGTAGACATATATACACACACAGGGATTCATCTATTTAAAACACACACACACACACACACACACACACACACACGCACATACACACACGCACACACACACACACACACACACCGTCAATAACCTTTCTAGTTCCTACCAAATTAAATAGACAGACAAGAGTGAAAGTTTGTGGAGAGTGACAGAGAAAAATATACCGTCCACTTCCTCCCCTAAATGATGTTAAGGTTAACTGGGGGTTAAAGGGTAAGTGGCGTCAGGTTAAGTGGCACCAGGTTAAGTGTCACATATATTTCCTGTACTGTCTGGAGAGGTTAAGTGGCGGGTCTATGTCTAGGGCCACTTCACCTGTTGATGATCTTGGTCAGGTAAATACCACTAGATCTTTTTAGTACCAATAGGTAATGGCAGGTGGTCGATCGCTTCCACGAATTTACACTCGGTTTGAATTCGTCTGGGGTTAAAACAACGTCCTTAATAGGTTAAAACATCATCATCAAAGGGTTAAACCATCTTCCCTAAAGGGTTAACACAGGCATAAAGTTTCTCTTTTTCCTCTTAATATTGTTTGCTTTATTTGTCTCTGTTTTCACTTTCTTTTCTTTATTCTCTCTTGCCATTCTCCTCCCTTTATCATTATATCTGTGTCTCTCTCTTCCATCCCAACCAAGACATAAGGAGCAAGAGAGATGAACAATAAGTGTTAAGTAGAGATGGATGACAAGCATAATAAGTGTTAATAAGTGCAAGTGATCTTTGTTGTCACGAAAACTTTCAAACGCTTTCAAGTTTCTATTTTCACAGCCTTACGTGACACACACACACACACACACACACACACACACACACACACACACACACACACACACACACACACACACACACACACACACACACCTGGTCTAGCTTGTTATGTTACGTACAGAGAAATTTTGTATTCATTTTATTTTGGTCACCAGATCATTACACAAGACACTGGTCATGATAAAACTTTCATGTGCCTTTACAAGTCGATATTTTGGGGAGAGTGGATGATGTTCTTTTAGATGTGAGGAACAAAGTGGTTCATACCTGTCCTAATACCTGGATGCCCCTATACCTGGATGTCCCTATACCTGGATGCTCCTATACCTAGATGAGACTACTAGTGGATTTTCATCTTTAGTTAATACACCTGAGTTTGGGTCTCTACGTGTAAAGGTGAACTAACTGTTGGGTGTGAATATTTTGACGATGTTACCTGAGTGTGGTGTAATGTGGTGTGGTGTGGTGTGGTGTAGTGTGTTGTGCGGTGTGGTGTGTTGTGTTGTGGTGTGTTGTTATTAATTGATGTTGTTTTTGTTGACAGGTCTCGGCGGAGGGTGAGGCGAGTATAGAGGCCGTCTGGTGTGGGCGTGAATCATGCCATAGAGGCCGTGGTGGGTCTGCTACACCATGCCTGAAGGGGGCAGTAGCTGTCACCTGTGTCATATCCACGACCACGTCCCGAGCTCCAGCCTACTGAGGACACATCCCCTCCGAACCTCGCACACCCGTCATCGTAACCCAAGCAGGTCCTCCATCACCTCCATAGCTCACACACACAACCATTCCCAGCCCCATCATTCCCGAGAAGGTTCCCACCACCACTCCTCTCGTGAAGGCTCCCATCACTCACACTCCCATCACTCCTCTCGTGAAGGCTCCCATCCCTCACGGGACCACCCCATCGCCCATCACTCCAGAGACCCAGATCCTCACCTTCACCACCATCATTCACGTGACTCAGTAGCGAGGGAGAGTGTGAGAGATGTGGATGTCAAGCAAACCAAAGTGGCGAGCACCCTGGCCAAGCTTAGCGAGCGGTCACATTCACTCTCAGGCAGCCGAGGTGGCACACTGTCTCGCGGGGGAGTTAACGAGGTCTCCATTCTCCCTGACGTCGACAGACACAGCCATCACCACCACCATGACGGACACAGTTCAACCAGGTCACGCGCCGAGTATAATGGGGTGTTGGCTGCCCTTCTGGAGACTCGCGCTGCCAGTCTACCCAGCAACCACGGCTCGATAAACAGGGAGCCAGACCTCTTAACAGCCCTCCCTCGCACTCACTCCCACAGCAGGTACGTCTACAGGTGTGTGTGATTTATGCTACCTACTGCCCCCAATAGTGACTGAGGCCAGGTGTTAAGGGAGATAGAGAGACAGTGATGTCTCTCTTTCTCTCTCTCAGGTGATCATATGGTCGAGGTGTAATACAAACACAGGTGTGGTGTACAGAGTGACTAAGCTCAGTTAGCTTCTTTTAGTTCAACTGTTTACCCTCACCTGTCGTGCCTCACCTGCTGTTGCCTCACTTAGAGATTTACCTTCTGGTGCCTCACCTAGTGATTCACTTAGTGCTTCATCATTAGTGTTGGCTCACCTAATGCTTCGCCTAGTGCTGCTTCATTTAGTGCCTCATTATAAGTGCTACATTACCTAGTATTCATCATTAATGTCTCTTCAAGTGTTACCTCAACATATAATGCTTCAAGTGTTACCTCTCCACTAGTGCTTCAAGCGTTACTTCATCACTAGTGTTTCAAGTGCTACCTCTCCACTAGTGGTTCAAGTGTTACTTCATCACTAGTGTTTCAAGTGTTACCTCAACACTTAGTACTTCAAGTGTTACTTAATTAATAGTGCTTTGCGTTACTTCATCACTAGTATTTCAAGTGCTACCTCTCCACTAGTGCTTCAAGTGTTACTTTATCACTAGTGCTTCAAGTGTAGTGCTTCAAGTGTTATTTTATCACTAGTGCTTCAAGTGTAGTGCTTCAAGTGCTACTTTATCACTAGTGCTTCAAGTGTAGTGCTTCAAGTGTTACTTTATCACTAGTGCTTCAAGTGTAGTGCTTCAAGTGTTACTTTATCACTAGTGCTTCAAGTGTAGTGCTTCAAGTGTTACTTTATCACTAGTGCTTCAAGTGTTACTTTATCACTAGTGCTTCAAGTGTAGTGCTTCAAGTGTTACTTTATCACTAGTGCTTCAAGTGTTACTTTATCACTAATGCTTCAAGTGTTACTTTATCACTAGTGCTTCAAGTGTATTTTTGCTTCACTAGTTTATGCTTAACAGTGTTTATTTCATCAGTAGATGCTTCACTAGATTATGCTTCACCAGTATGTGCTTCACTAGGTTATGCTTCACCAGTATGTGCTTCACTAGATTATGCTTCACCAATAGAACCTTGATGAAGAACCTTAACGTGTGGGTGTGGTCTCTCTCTCCCCCCCACAGGTCGAGTACACTGTCCAGAGCCAAGGACCCACACGGCAGTAACCTAACTCTGGCCCAGGACACTGAACAAGATTACTATATGCACGTTCACCGAGCCAGGTACAAGGATGAGGCCAGGAAGCAGAGATTCAACCTCCAGACTGTTATGCTTATTGGCTGCTACACTTTACTGGTGAGTCCAAGGGTTAGGTTAGGTCATGTCAGGTTAGGTTGGGTTAGGTTAGGTCTACACACTTAAATTTATACTGTGATCAGATATGAAAGGTCTATTTACACCTAACGGATAGTTGTTAGTGATTTACATTTGTCAAGAAAGCATTGTAAATGTTGTGATGGGTCTAGTGTGTGGTGATGATCCATTGGTCTCTCAAGGCCGTGGGCGGAGCGGCGTGAAGACCTTGACTTTAGGATTGGTTTATAAACATCAACTATTGGTGACGCTGGACTCGAGTAGGACTCAAACATGGCTTACGTACTGTACCTCTCAAGTCCTAGGTGGCGTTTTAGAATGGGTGTCCTTTTATACATCTCTTATAATTGAATCATAGTAAAATAGAAGCATTATTATTATTATTATTATTATTATTATTATTATTGTTATTATTATTATTATTATTATTATTATTATTATTATTATTATTATTATTATTATTAATAATAATATTATTATTATTATTATTTTAGCGGAAACTTATATTGCGTGGTGGTATGTAACTCGTCTAATGTTTGTTATTTACAGTTTGTGGTCGCAATAATCATCGGTGTGGTGTTATGTCAACAAAATGGGTGGCTGGGGTTCGGACACAGCACGGCGGAGGAGTCAACGGGCAAGGAGAACAAAGCGAAGCAGAACAATATCAACAACCTCTCCAACCTGAGGGACCTAGATCGACCAACTCGTGGCAGAGGTTCAGGTAACCGCGGCAGCCGTCCAGGACCTACCATAGACTACGACTACCCTGACGACGGGCCGCCACCGCGCATCACTTCAACCGGGAACATCCCTGGCGGGGTGGGCGTCCCACTACCCGGCCAACCTGGTGGTATCGACCCCCTGCGGACTGTAAACTTTGTGCCCTTAGACCAGACTAATCCTGAGGTCAGTGGCTCTCCTCAACGTCCTTCTGTTGGACAAGGAAGACCAGGGGCGGGACAAGGCAGGCCAGGGATGGGACAAGGCAGGCCAGGGGTGGGACAAGGCAGGCCAGGGGTGGGACAAGGCGGACCAGGGGCGGGACAAGGCAGGCCAGGGGCGGGACAAGACAGGCCAGGGGTGGGACAAGGCCAGGCCAGGGGTGGGACAAAGGCAGGTGGGGGTGGGACAAAGGAGCAGACCAGGGGGCAGGACAAGGCGGGCCAGGGGCAGGAGGACCTGACGTCTCAAGGGAATAGATTAGGGCAGCATCAACTAACAGGGAACAGGGCGGGAAGGAGGCCCTGTGTCAGGTAACAGTGGTTTGAACCCCTTCAGCAGTACAGCCACAGGTACTGGTGGAAGTGGCAAAAAGCCGACAGCTCACCTGATGTTTCAAGCCTGCCCATGAGAGACCAGGACCAGCTAGGACAAAACATTAATGGCGGACAGTCCCCAGGCCAGAAATCGCTTTCCATACCCTTTGGGTCACCTAATGGACCAAAGCAGTTTTAACACGAATATTTGGAAACGTTCTAATGTTAATGACCTAATGTCGTTTCTAAAAACTTCCTGATAACAATGGACAATTTATTAACAGCAACAACAATCCCGGGAACAATAACAACCAAAGTAATATTCGGAGTAGTCAACAACTGCTAATATTCCTGTTGACGACCAAAGAAACTTCCATTCACTTTCCGTGGCAGGTGCTGCATGAACACCGGGGCAGACGGTCTGGAAGAACTAACAACGCTGGGCTGTTAATAATCATTAGAGGGCAAGCAACGGTAACTTTAATGGTGGACAGAGAGCCCAATGTAAACACTTCACCTGGCAATGGTAATCTTAGGCCTGGCAACTGCTTTATATACCCGGAGCAAACCTTAACACTGGAGGGACCAACATTCCAGAGCAGCATTGGAGGGAAACTTCAATGCACAGGAACTCAGAGCAGAGCTGGAAAACACCTCACCAGTGGAACCGTCAACATCCCAGACACTAGTGGAAACTTTACCCCAACACTAGAACAGCCACGGCGGTCCAGGCAGTGGTGGAGAGGCTTCAAAAGCGTTCAGGCAGTGGTGGAGAGAGTCTCCAACATTCAGGCAGTGGTGGAGGGAAACTTCAATGTTCAGGAAATGGTGGTGCGACTCCAACATTCCAGGCAGTGGTGGAGAAAACTCCAGCATTCCAGGCAGTGGTGGAGAGAGCTCCAGCATTCCAGGCAGTGGTGGAGAAACTTCAATGTTCAGGCAGTGGTGGAGAAACTTCAATGTTCCAGGAAATGGTGGTAGAGCTCAGCAACATTCCCGGGCAGTGGTGGAGAAGCTTCAACGTTCAAGGCAGTGGTGGAGAGGAAACTCCAGCTTATTCCGGGCGATGGTGGAGAGGAAGCTGATGTTCCAGGAAATGGTGGTGGGAAACTCCAGCAACATTCCAGGCAGTGGTGGAGAAACTTCAGCGTTCAGGGCAGTGGTGGAGGGAAACTCCAGCATTCCAGGCAGTGGTGGAGAAACTGTCTTCCAGGAAATGGTGGTGGAAACTCCAACATTCCAGGCAGTGAGTGGAGGAAACTCCAACATTCCAGGCAGTGGTGGAGGAAACTCCAACATTCCAGGCATGATGGTGGAGGAAACTTCAACACTGGAATGATAACATTCAGGCAGTAGTGGTGGGAAACTCCAACATTCCAGAAATTGGTGGAGAAACTTCAATGTTCAGGAAATGGTGGTGGAAACTCCAACATTCCGGAGCAGTGGTGGAGGAAACTTCGTCACTGGAATAGCCAACATTCAGGCAGTGGGGGAGGAAGTTCAACGTTCCAGGCAGTGGTGGAGGGAAACTTCAATTTTCCAATAAATGGTGGTGAAACTCAACATTCAGGCAGTGATGGAGGAAGCCTTCAACGTTCAAGGCAATTGGTGGAGGAAACTCCAGCATTCCAGGCAGTGGTGGAGAGAAACTTCAATGTTCCAGAATGGTGGTGGAAACTCAACATTCCAGGCAGTGTGGAGGAAACTCCAACATTCCAGGCAGTAGTGGAGGAAACTCCAACATTCCAGGCAGTGGTGGAGGAAACTTCAATGTTCCAGGAAATGGTGGTGGAAACTCCAACATTCCAGGCAGCGGTGGAGGAAACTTCAACACTGGAATGACCAACATTCCAGATAGTGGTAGAGGAAGTTCTAGCGTTCCGGGCAGTGGTGGAGGAAACTTCAACGTTGCAGGCAGTGGTGGAGGAAGCTCCAACGTTCCAGGCAGTGGTGGAGGAAACTTCAACACTGGAATGACCAACATTCCAGATAGTGGTAGAGGAAGTTCTAGCGTTCCGGGCAGTGGTGGAGGAAACTTCAACGTTGCAGGCAGTGGTGGAGGAAGCTCCAACGTTCCAGGCAGTGGTAGAAGGCTCAACGTTCCGGGCAGTGGTGGAGAAACACTTCAGCGTTGCAGGCAGTGGTGGAGGAAGCTCCAACGTTCCGGGGCAGTGGTGGAAACTTCAACGTTGCAGGCAGTGGTGGAGAAGCTCAACGTTCCGGGCAGTGGTGGAGAAACTTCAACGTTGCAGGCAGTGGTGGAGAAAACTTCAACATTCAGGCGGTGGTGGAGGAAGCTTCCAACATTCCAGGCAGTGGTGGAGAGAGCTCTAACGTTCCAGGCAGTGGTGGAGAAACGTCAACGTTCCAGGCAGTGGTGGAGAGCTCCAACGTTCCAGGCAGTGGTGGAGAAGCTCCAACATTCAAGGCAGTGGTGGAGGGCTCTAACGTTCAGGCGGTGGTGGAAGAAGCGTCAACGTTCCAGGCAGTGGTGGAGGAAGCTTCAACGTTCCAGGCAGTGGTGGAGGAAACTTCAACACTGGAATGACCAACATTCCAGTCAGCGGTGGAGGAAGCTCCAACGTTCCAGGCAGTGGTGGAGGAAACTTCAACACTGGAATGACCAACATTCCAGTCAGCGGTGGGGGAAGCTCCAATGTTCCAGGCAGTGGTGGAGGAAACTTCAACGTTCCAGGCAGTGGTGGAGGAAACTTCAACGTTCCAGGCAGTGGTGGAGGAAGCTCCAACGTTCCAGGCAGTGGTGGAGGAAGCTCCAACACTGGTGCAGGCAAGAGAGCTGGTCTGGCTGGCGTTAACTTGACCACTGGAGCAGGAAGCGGAGGCAGCTCACTTACAGGGGAATTAAATACTGGTACTGGTAACAGAGGAAATATTGCAATTGGAAATTTTATCTCTGGAACAGGCAGCAGCGGAGGTTCTTCTGCTGGGAGTTTAAACCCTATAAGAGGGAGCAGTGAGAATGGTCCAGTCGGAAGTGTCAGTTCTGGAACAGGTAGTGGGACAAGTGGAAGCAACAGTGGTGGAGTGGGTAGCAAGCTAAATACAGCGTCTGGGGTGTTCAACGGTGGGCGAGGCAGCATCATGATCGCAGGGGTACGTGTGCCTACCAGTGGCAGTCCAGGTGCCCTTGACGGCTCTGCTGTGAGTAACACTAACTCAAACAGCTTTGTTGGCAATGGCGCACAAACTACCAATGTGAACAATGTGCAACAAACGCCCGGGGCTCCTGCAGGCGTCAACACCCAGAGGATACCACAGAACACGCGGGGGGGAAGAGGTGGTGTTCGGAACTTAGGCAACGGAAACATACGCATGATGGTGAGAGAAAGAAATGTAAATGCACGCACCGCTGTCCAGAGACCTGCAGGAGCGACCCCTGCCAACAACAGGAACCCTGGCAGCGTTATTCTAAACCGTGACGGCCAACAGCCCACACCAGGCGGAGTGAACACGCCCACTGCTGCTACAGGTGTCCAGACCCAATCAGTGATGGCGGGCACACAAGCAGCAGGGAGCACTTCTCTCGGTGAGATAGTGTCTCCACAAAAAATTGGAATCTCTGTGAACCCGACCAGCCACAACTGGGAAGGAATGAAAGACGACAGTAGCCAGGCTGCGACAGTGTCAGGGACAGTCAGCCGTACTGGTGCTGCTCCTGCCACGGACAGAAGTCACACTCAGCGCCCCGTGACATCATCCCAGGCAGTACCTAGTGACAGTGACAGTGATTTCGCCGTGTTTCCCCCGTCTGGTGATCACGTGACTCCCCTACAGGTGATGCGCGGGTTCTCGGTGCAGCGCGGGGAGGTGGTAGCACTGAGCACCATCAGTAGTGACAACCCGGAGATAGCCGTCTTGAGGCCCGACCATGACGTTGTCTTCCATATAAGACCAAATGCTCCCGACGGCGGTGTTTCACTTATAAGACGTCCAAACCAGACTCCTCCACCACCTCCAACACCACCGCCACCACCACCGCCACCACCACCACCGCCACCACCCCCAACACCACCACCCCCAACACCACCTCCAACAGCACCAGGCACCAGCATGCGTTCAAGAAGGATCGACTCTTTGCGGGAGATGAGTTCTCGCAGGCAACGGGGGAGGACCTCGAAGGTGCTGAGACGCTGGGAACACATGGACGAGGGAGGTACACTGTCCCGGGGCCTCGTGAGGAGTGACGGGTCCTTCTCCTTCTCCAACTGCCGCCCCCCGGAGGTCTGCGCCCTTAGTGACGCTAGCGGAGGCTGAGACACCAAGTTCACGTGACAGTTAAAATGTTGTGTAGGTGTAACGCTCACCCCTGCCGCTATCAGTGTTAAAATGGTGCTATGTTAAAAAGTAGCCACATCATATTACATACGAACCAAACGTTATTTACACCGTGAAGAAGACAGTTAACGAAGCCAAGGAATAATACAGTTTGTGTTTGAACCAGAGACCAACAACACGAGTCAAACACATAACATACACAGGAAAAAATCACATAAACAAAACTAACCACAAATTGATTCATCTTTTATAACGAAACAAATGGAACACTAAATCTGTCTTTGTCTCCATGGTAACGAAATGACTCACACAGTTATAATTTCTTTGATTCCTGGATCTTTTAACACCAAGTCAAGGACAAGATAAAGTTTACAGGTGTAGGAACAGGTGTGTGGGGACAGGAGGAGGAAGGTAACAGCTGTGATAAGACGACGATGCTTGCAGGTGTGTAGACCGATGAGGGTGGGGGTGATGCGTGCAGGTGTAGATCAAAGTGCCATTCATGACCTGTGAGTGCCAGTGTGGACCTGTTGTGGACCTGTGTGGACCGGCCATCATGAAGTATTACTAGTGTGTAAGAGTGACTCACCTGCTGACTCATGACTCCTCAAATGACTCATGACTTAACTGAATCATAAATCATCTACTGACTCCTGACAACTCATATGACTCATTAATCACCGTTTGATTCATTGACTAACTTTCTTATGACTCACCTCTTGACTCATCAAATGACTCACGAATCACCTGTATCATGACTCATAATTCACACTAGCCTATTGTGTATATATTCATGAATAATCTGTGCCGGAAGTATGTCTCCTGATGGGCCCCCCCAGTCCTGAGGGGCCTATTAGAACAAAATCCCATTAGGACAAGGGCCCATCAGGACAAGGGCCCATCAGGACAAGGGCCCACTCAACCCACAAGCATATTAAGCTGTGTCAAGAGAAGCACCATGTACATAGACATTACTAAAAGAAATACACATTATCTCCACAAAACACTCACTCTTCCCCCAAAAAATACCTTCACGATTTTGAACGAAACAATATGACACAACAGACGAAGATTTTTGACAACCCTAAAGATAACAGGAGTCGTAGTGTTCATTTCGAAATTTATCAGTACCCCTCCGTAAAGGTACTTTTTTGGGAGGGCAGGGGTGAGTGTTTATACTTAGTAATACATATTTATAACTTAAGAGCTGACATATTCATCATTTTGTATTAATAACAAAACCATGTATATTTTTTGTGTTGTATATTATGTACAATTTGTGAGCTTCCAGGCGAGATGTGTATGTTTGTATGTTTTGTGTATATGTATGAATATATGTATAAACTAGTCCAATCTGCCATGGTTGTTTTACTATAGTTACCCTTCATATATTTTATACATATTGAAAGAAAACAGAAAATTTTAAATATTTGAAGTAATGAACAAAAATAAAATGAAAATTAAAGAATAAATTAACTAAATGAAGGAAATAGAGAAGAAATATAAGGAAAAATAAATAAAGAAAATGTCCTAAAATATAATAAAGATGATATAGAAGAGAAACTGATAAAGAGAATAAGTAAATAATATGACGAATAAGATTTAATGGAGAAAATGAAAGGAAAATGAAGTAAAACAAAGTCATAGAAGAAGGGGAGAAAGAGAAGGAGAAACAAGAAAGAAAAGTAATTGAAATTAGTAAAAGAAAATGGAGGACATAACATAGAAAATGGAATAACTTATAAAAAATAGGAAGACGAAAGCAAGAAAATTAGTAAAACTGACTAAAGAAAATACAAGAGAGAGGAAATAAATAAGAGAAAGAATGAAAATAAGGAGAAGAATGAAGAGAAACTGAAGGAAATGGATAAAAGTGAATGTTGGAAAGAGAAGACAAGATATAATAGAAGAGAAAGGAAACGAAAGGGAAACTCAAGAAAATATGTCAAATCATCATCATTATTACGACCAACCAATGACTGGTCTCTCTCTCTCTCTCTCTCTCTCTCTCTCTCTCTCTCTCTCTCTCTTGTTGCCTTTGGGGGATCACGTGAACATTAGCCCCCCAGCTTATTTTACCTGATGATTAAATACCCTAACCCAGCCACACCCATCAACACCCACACATCACCCCGGCCGCACCCATCAACACCCACACATCACCCAGCCGCCCATCCTCCCACACACATCCCAGCCACCATCAACACCACACATCACCCAGCCACACCCATCCACCCACACCCAGGCCACCCATCAACACCCACACATCACCCAGGCCACCATCAACACCCACATCACCGCACACCATCCACCCACACATCACCCATCAACACCACATCATCACCACTCAACACCCACACATCACCAGCCACCCATCAACACACATCACCCAGCCACACCCATCAACCACACATCACCCAATACCATCAACACCCACATCACCCATCAACACCACATCACCCCAGCCACCCATCAACACCCACATCATGAGCACACCCATCAACACCCACATCACCTGGCCACACATCAACACCCACACATCACCAGGCCACACCCTCAACACCCACACATCACCTGGCCACACCCATCAACACCACACATCACCAGGCCACCATCAACACCCACATCACCAGGCCACACCCATCAACACCCCATCAGGCCACCCATCAACACCCACATCACCAGGCCACACCCATGACCCACATCACCAGGCCACACACCCCACCCACACATCACCAGGCCACACCCATCAACATCCACACATCACAGGCCACACCCATAACACCCACACATCACCAGGCCACACCCATCAACACCCACACATCCTGGACACCCATCAACACCCCACACATCACCAGGCCACCCACAACACACACATCACAGGCCACCAACACTGAGATAGGAGGAAGCTGCGGTGTGGGTGATTATGTTTTTATAGGTGAAAACACAGAGTTGGTCCTTCGGCTGTATGTCTTTATCGATGAGAGTGTGTGTGTGTGACCAAACAACTGAGTGACAAGTGTTTATAATCACCCACTTTTACTCTCTCCTTCCCTCCTTCCTCCCTCCTCCTCCCTCTCTCCCTCCTTCCCTCACCCTCACCCCCCCTCGTAAAACCATGAATAATACAACGAATTCCTTCAGGAAACCCCACTACGAGTTTACTGGGTGACTGGTCGAGCCCTGGGGAGCCTGGGGAAGGTCCGGGAATGCCAAGAGTTACTAACAACATCAATCAGTCATTGGGTTATGTTAGGTCTCATGACACTCTAACTGGCCTCCTTGACACCGTGACGACTCTGCCCCCTCCTCACTCAATCACCTTAACCATCACTTGCTCACTTGACACCAGGGAGAAAAACTGTTTCACGAAGCTACTCAACCCCAGTGACCACCGATCAGAACCAGTTTCCCATCTGACTATGAGACCGAGGTATCGAGGTGAGTGTGTCTGGCTGAGTCTCTTCTCCGCGGCCTACGGTGTTCCTCTTCTCCCGGGGTGTGGACGACGAATTGTATTAAGGACAACTGCTGGTGGTGTTGTGATGGTGGTGGACTACGTCGTTAATCCCTGGTTTCCTTGTGGTTGGCCATCACAACCTGGACTTGCTGCCTGAGCTGCCATTTCTATCAGGTTTTTGTGCTGTTATATATTATAGTGTGTGTGTATTGAATGCTTAAAGTAAGAGTAATGAGGTAATATTCTGGTGTGTAAGCATATTAAGTGTTATACTTGTGTTATATAATGTACCTAATTATCTATATTAATCAATACTTAATATAAATGTTATTAAATTACTCAGTTTATTTCTCTTATCTCTTTCCTGTAAATTTGTCTATCTGGTGATTCTTGTGTGAGTGTTCTCACTTGCATCCATATTCAACCCATAGATAATTAACTCTTTATTTTACTTGTCAACTTTGCCTTTCCTCAATGTTGTGGGTAGCGAGGAAAAATTATCCTAACCTCTCCTGGTCTCATGACATTCCCACTGGCCTCATGACCTCCCACTGGCCCCATGACCTCTCACTGGCCTCATGACACTCACCGGTCTCATGACACTCTCACCGGCCTCATGGACTCACCGGTCTCATGACACTCTCACCGGCCTCTGGCCTCCGGTCTCTGACACTCTCACCGGCCTCATGACATTCCCACTGGCCTCATGACACTCCCACTGGCCCCATGACACTCTCACTGGCCTCATGACACTCTCTGGCCTCATGACCTCACCGTCTCACTGGCCTCTCTGCCATGACACTCACCGGTCTCATGACCTCTCACCGGCCTCATGACACTCTCACTGGCCTCATGACCTTCTTGGCCTCATGACCTCACCGGTCTCATGACTCTCACTGGCCCCTGGCCTCCACCGGTCTCATGACACTCTCACCGGCCTCATGACACTCTCACTGGCCTCATGACACTCTCACCGGCCTCATGACACTCTCACTGCCTCATTGGCACTCTCACTGGCCTCATGACACTCACTGGCCTCAGGCACTCTCACTGGCCTCATGCCTCTCACTGGCCTCAAGGCACTCTCACTGGCCTCATGGCACTCTCCCTGGCCTCATGGCACTCTCACTGGCCTCAAGGCACTCTCACTGGCCTCAAGGCACTCTCCTGGCCTCTGATGCTCACCTGGCCTCAAGGCTCTCACTGGCCTCAAGGCACTCCCAGCCTCAAGGCACTCTCACTGGCCTCAAGGCACTCTCACTGGCCTCAAGGCACTCTCACTGGCCTCATGACACTCACTGGCCTCAAGGCATCTCACTGGCCTCAAGGCACTCTCCACTGGCCTCAAGGCACTCCCCACTGGCCTCAGGGCACTCTCACTGGCCTCCACTTCTCCTGGCCTCAAGGCACTCTCACTGGCCTCAGGCACTCTCACACAGCCTCAAGGCACTCTCACTGGCCTCAAGGCATCTCACTGGCCTCAAGGCACTCTCACTGGCCTCAAGGGCACTCTCACTGGCCTCATGACTCAGCCTCAGCACTCTCACTGGCCTCAAGGCACTCTCCCACTGCCTCAAGGCACTCTCACTGGCCTCAAGGCACTCACTGGCCTCAGGCACTCACTGGCCTCAAGGCACTCTCACTGGCCTCAAGGCACTCTCACTGGCCTCATGACACTCACTGGCCTCAAGGCACTCTCACTGGCCTCCAAGGAGCACTCCCACTGGCCTCAAGGCACTCTCCCACGGCCTCAAGGCACTCTCACTGGCCTCAAGGCACTCTCACTGGCCTCATGACACTCACTGGCCTCCAGGCACTCTCACTGGCCTCAGGCACTCTCACTGGCCTCAAGGCACTCCCACTGGCCTCAAGGCACTCCTCACTGGCCTCAAGGCACTCTCACTGGCCTCAAGGCACTCTCACTGGCCTCAAGGCACTCTCACTGGCCTCAGGCACTCTCACTGGCCTCAAGGCACTCTCACTGGCCTCAAGGCACTCTCACCGCCCCTCAAGGCACTCTCACTGGCCTCAAGGCACTCTCCACTGGCCTCAAGGCACTCTCACTGGCCTCAAGGCACTCTCACTGGCCTCAAGGCACTCTCACTGGCCTCAAGGCACTCTCACTGGCCTCAAGGCACTCTCACTGGCCTCAAGGCACTCTCACTGGCCTCAGACACTCACTGGCCTCAGGGCACTCTCCTGGCCTCAAGGCACTCTCACTGGCCTCAAGGCACTCCCACTGGCCTCAAGGCACTCTCACTGGCCTCAAGAGCTCTCACTGGCCTCAGGCACTCTCCATGGCCTCACCACTGGCCTCAGGCACTCTCACTGGCCTCAGGCACTCTCACTGGCCTCAGGCACTCTCACTGGCCTCACTGACACTCTCCTGGCCTCAAGGCACTCTCACTGGCCTCAAGAGCACTCTCACTGGCCTCAGGGGCCTCCTGGCCTGGCCTCCACTGGCTCAAGGCACTCTCACTGGCCTCAAGGCACTCTCACTGGCCTCAAGGCACTCACTGGCCTCAAGGCACTCTCACTGGCCTCAGGCACTCTCACTGGCCTCAAGGCACTTCCTCACTGGCCTCAAGGCACTCTCACTGGCCTCAAGGCCTCTCACTGGCCTCAGGCACTCTCACTGGCCTCATGGCACTCTCACCTGGCCTCAAGGCACTCTCCAGCCTCAAGGCACTCTCACTGGCCTCAGGCACTCTCATGGCCTCAGGCACTCTCACTGGCCTCAAGGCACTCTCACTGGCCTCAAGGCCCTCTCACTGGCCTCAAGGCACTCTCCTGGCCTCAGGCACTCTCACTGGCCTCAGGCACTCTACTGGCCTCCAGGCACTCTCACTGGCCTCAAGGCACTCTCACTGGCCTCAAGGCACTCTCACGGCCTCAAGG